TCAAACGACAAACGATGAGGTTTAGCCATAAAATTGCAGAAAAAAGTGACCCCAGTTGGCATGGAATTGCAAATATATGCAGACTTCGCACCAACAGGATATTCATAATGGGAGAAAGCCAAAGGTTCAACACATTTTATCCACATATCGTCATATGCAAAATCAAGTGCGAAAGGGGTTTCCCCCGAAATTCAAATGAGACGAAAATTCAGATCAGTCCAGGGCGGCCATTTTGTTCATTTCACTGTACACCGAGTTTGATCACAAAACTACACTAAAACTCATAGAATACCCCTCAAATATGGTTAGTACAGAGAGCACATGATATACACATCTGATACGTACCGCCATCTTGATGCAGAGGCCGAAACTGGTGATGTAATCGGCTGTCAACAACTCGGATGAAATTTCAGCCCGCCGCCCGCGAAAACGTCGTCCTTAGCAACGGCGTTGCTACGGACGGCGGAGTGATACGCTCTGCAAAGAAAACTCGTTCGAAAAGCGTTCGATTCAGTACGTGGCTTTCCGGCTGATAAAATCCCCACCTACAGCACTATCTCACCCTCCGTCTCAGACAAGGATTTAGAGGGCCATTAACAGGTCTTTCTGCTTAGGGCAGTGCAAATACCGTCATGGGCAATATCAGTGTCATTACATGTTTCTCATACTAGTAAATGAACTGATATCACACACAGAGTGAGACAAATCAATGTCATTTCATAGCATTCAATGCTGTCAGGAATGCTGGCAAAAGAATTTGTGTGTGCCATTCTATAGAAATTATATAGAATCCTTGGTCAAAGACAACTAAATAGAATGCAAGACTTCAGATTCTTGTCTTAGTATAATATGAATAGACTTGATAATTGTTTTCACCATGTTTCTTGACTTGCAACAATAATGAAGAACATCTGACTTACAAAGCCATCATAATTAGAATGAATGCTTGTATCCTATATAAAAAGCAGTGTACATGCACGTGTCACCTCAGGCAAGTAACCTGTGACCTTGGCTTTATTATCATCCAGTTACATGTAGCTTTCATACCAGATGATTGAGTTAAAGGCATCCAATGTGATTTCAGGGCAGTAAAACTGGATTTTCTATATCAGTTTCCTGGCCATTTCTTCAGTGCATGAGCATCAACCCTATCCCATAGCACATTGATATCTCTTAGCCAAAAATGTCATGTCGCTGACAGAAAACGGTTGTTTATATTTCATATCATATGCTGATTCTAGCTATTTATTGGTAGCGCCCAAAAATAAAGAGACCCCAAACATAATTTGCGTGTTTTGGGGCTCTTAAAAAATGCTTCACTGAGTTCAAGTATGAAATGATGACAAAAACATGCTAAAAAATGGCAATAAATATCAATATCAGACAGACTTCCTCATCCAGAATATTTTTTGTTTAACCACCTAAAATGGAATTAGAATTCAAATGCATATGCAACACCATTAAAACTAAGGACCGAAAATAACATTGGCACTCCAACCTACTGGGTATGATAAAAAATTGAAATTCAGACGCTGTCTGCAACAGCAATTTCCAAGCAGATCTTATGGTGACAGCAAGACAGTTATGAGTACATGTATGATATCAGAATTGGCAAGACAGTATGTATCCTTTGCACGGCAGTATCCAATATCCCACCCAGCATTTGGCTGGTGGAAAAGAAAAAGATACCAGTGCAAAACAGAAAGCCCGACGAAAATGCCTAAAAACACCTCAAACATAAGCCAAAGCCTTTGTTTAGTTTGTATACCTCTGCTTAGAGGGTTTGTAACAGAATCCAGCACGAACAAAATGCCAACCAGTTTGAGCTCTCTGGAATTTGCAGGTTCTGAGACAGATCTAAGTGTATTTATCCCCCAGAAGTTATATATTAGATGTGCACTGTTAGGGTTTAGCACTGTAGACAAGCACAAGACAAATTGGAAAGACAGTATTCCATTGGAAGGGCAGTATATACATTGTATTTGCCACCTGGAGGCTTACTGGCATGAAAAAAAATACCCGTACAAAAAAGCATGATAAAAATGCCTAAACATTGTTGAATTTGACATGTTTTGTTTTGATCAATTTGACATGTTTTTGATAGTCTTACTTTACTGTTAACTCAATTAGTTAGTTTGTCGTGTTAACTCTATATTATTTTGTATTTATTTTCATTTAATTTGTTTCGTTGTCACTTATTTACAATACACGTGTGTAAAAAGAGGTCAAAACAATTGGATTTTCAGGAGGGCCACTCGATAAACCCTTAGGTTTCTTGGGTTCTCCCGCACATTTGGTTGTACATAAATTCATTACATACTGTTTTTATTTTTATGTGCAAATTGGCAATAAACAAATAAACAACATTTAGTAAAAACATGTCAGAAATACAGTGTACAATATAAGAAGGAGTCTGAACCTCTAATTGGAAAGTAGAGGATTCAAAGCATGGCTTTCAAGAACACAAGCTTTCACAAGTTGCAGGAAATTATTGAGAGTCACTTCGAATTCTGTTCTTTATGAATATGATACATTGTCTTACTGCCATCTGATCCAGCTACCGCCTGCGGTAAAGACTGTAAAGTATTTTACAGCAGGGTTCTGAAGTGAGTGATAAAAGGGTTATATAAAAGTATGCCCTATTTACTATTCTCCTCATGTAGTGTAGGTTCTATGGCTGGGATATACGTCACATGGTGTCTGGAAAATGCTTGAAACACTAGAGCCAATATTTGATTGGTGAAGCTTTCAGGGCACTATGTCATAAGGCTTATAAGTTATAGTACCAATACAATGTTCATGGAACCTATTATTGGACCAGATGTACATAAAATTCAATATTCAAAAGTCAATATTCATAAGTCAAATTGAAAGAGTACATGGTATTTTTTTACTTGGATAATATACGTACTAAAACATTTTAGTGCATTTATTTTCACATCAAATGTGGCCAGTGTTTTGAAATCTTGTCTGTTAATATCAAATTACAACTGCAGTTACATTGACGTCATGTCATAAAAGTATGATGTATATGGAAATAATGTGTCCTGATATGACCTTGTGTCTGTAACAGTGATATAGCCAGCACTTGGTACTCACACAATAGAGGAAATAGTGCATTAAATACACATATAATTACATATTTGGAAGTGTGAAGTTGCTTTAAGTTTCTGCCCAGATGTCTGAATTTCTAGGAAAAATAAACATCTGTCAGTGTTCCAGCCAGCCTGAATTTTTTCAGTCGTTTCAATTTTGTTTGACATAAAATTATCCGCAGCGCTGAAGGCAAAAGCATGACAATCCTAGGGGGGTCTGGGTAAATTTTGACCTGAAACACTATAGTATTGCCTATATAGTGAGCACCAAATGCCCACCTGGCCAGTTAACAAATAATATGTAGCACGAGTGAGTAGAATGACCTATTAAAAGACATTGACAAGTTAAAGGTTAAAGCAAGTTTTCTTTATAATATAAGCTTTTAATGTGGACCAGCATTAACTAGTGTGTTACGCCAAAGGGTCACCCAGGGAGGTTATACCGGCTATACACTACAGATACATATGCCTTTTGCTGCTTTAATTCTGTGTAACTCGTAATTATGAACCCACTCTAATTCAACCTAGAGCCTCAGTGTAATCATTAGATGGTTCAATTTAAAATTTCATACATTAGGTACATTTCAGAAATTCTGCAGCATGAAGATAATTATCTTTTCAAGTTCTTATCTCATGATCCAACATCCACTGTGTCCTTGCACATTCTCAACTAGTAAGACATACATAATTTCAGAAATTAGTCCCTGGGGCTATAGAAAAGACGCATTCAATCAACCAGGGTAAAGGATTACAAAAAATTATTCATACAATAATCAATAAATACAGCATTTATTCAGGCTTTCTAAAAAGGAATAAAACAGTTAATAATGCTACTAATTTGTTTCTTTAGTTCTATTGTGATGGTGAACTGTGTTTGTGTTTACCAGTTCAGTTGATTCAGATGGACATAAAAAGAGAAAGATTGGAATAGTCAGCTATCCGTGAAAATTATGGACAAAATGTACAAGAAACAGAGTTCTGATAGATATAGCACCTGGAAATTTTATAATTTGTGGGAATTCCTGCGTCATGTTCTTTGTAATCTGCAAGAATATAATTTTAAGGTCGAACAAATTGATGGCTTACACAAGGGGAGGGAGCGTAAATTATGCCCGCCGTATGACCGGCAGGTTATGTTTATACAATAAAATATGACTATTCAGACGTCACTGGACAGTCATCCGGATCTGGTGAGTTGAGAATATTATGTGCGGTTGGAAACCGTTCAATTCTCCGTCCAGTCAGAAGCTGGGAGACTGTGCGTGATCGCCTACATACTCGACCAGAGCAAGGTCGATATCATTTTTTGGGCTTCGTCTAGCGCTCTTCAACCAGAAAAAGAACGACCCCTCCGCACACTAATTATTCACGCCCATATTTTTCACATCACGCCACTTCACAACTCACAACTGGCTCACATTGTGTGTCCCACCTCTCAAATTTGGAACAGATCCTCCTCGTATACGTGTAAACTGAACTAAAATGTGACCAACATCAAACACACAAATGTTCGCACCCTAACATTCAGGAACCATTTTTCTTTGATCGAATGAGCAGTGACCAGGAGATAGATACCTGCGTGGTGAATTCTCAATCGGTGCGAGAATTTTAACCAAAGTAAGTCACGATGCTGTCTGAATTACTAAGTTCCTCGTGGCTAGACGTGGATCGTGGTAGTCTCTTGGGCCTGAGTGTGAAATTTGGAGGAAAAATTCCGCTAAATCGCGATCCAGTGATCTGAGGTCTGCAGTGAAGACGTGCGTCAGCTCAGCCGGTCGTTGTGCCAAGTCGAAATCCCGCTTCCTTTTGGACCATTTCTTCTACATTCTACTCATAATCGTTTCAAATAATCTTCGAGAAACATTATCAAACGGCATTCTGACAGAAAATGTATGAGGAACTCACCTTTTTGTGCCAGAAATTGCGAGAAAATGTTGCCTGTCGCAGTACAACGTGCTTCCTTCCCTGACTCCGCTGTTTCGCGATCTCCCCGTAGTTCGCATGCGCGAATACTGAGTTGAGTATAAAACCCGGAAAAACTCAAATTGAAACGAAATGGCTGAAATCAATCAACGCAATACCTGAACGCCGGGTACTTTTTTACCATAAAAAGACAAATTAGGCCACGACTTTAATAAGTATACCCTTTTACTATAGAAGAGTACAAAGGAGGCTGTGAACGATGTTGTTATACCAGCAAAATTCATTATTACATGAAGGTCTGAAGCGTTCATTCTGGTGCTGAGTTTACAGTTTTACGTATGCTCAAGTAAGTAGTGACAATGGTTAAGAAACATCGTCAACTGTCAGGTCGTTGTGAACTAGAAAATATATTCTTTAGTTTGCAAAATGGCAAAATTGTGCCCTGCTCTTTCTCAACAAACAGGCAAAATTGCAATTCCGGGAAAAGTTCATTGCGTAAACCATGCTCTCTGTTACGGCAATTTCTATTGGCTCATGCAGTGGCTTGGGCCAATCGTGAAGCACGTTTTATTTACTCTTTGGCTCTCGAAAATGGCGGACGAAATAAAACTAATTTTCCTTTCTCTTGGGAAATTCCCTGTTCATATTTGTGCATGTCCAAACGACTGGATACGTATCCATGGAAAATATTAGGTGCGCAACCAAAAGGAGATCAGAGTACCTTACTGCAGGTATATTGTTTAATTGTGACTTGATTTCCATCATAATTTTTTGTTGGCAAACTTTCACTTGGTGTGGGAGGGTCCGGCAGGTGGCACAGATTCAGTTTCACTTTCAGTAAATTATGAATCTTCGGACCCTCCTTGGTTTTCCGTAACATCACATTTTTAAATTTATGTGCTGAGCAGTATCATGACTGATATTTGCAGCATAAATACCTATGATTTTTATACGAAAATATGCTTTAGAACTTGGTGTGCATCTTTTTTTGCATAATTTTAGACAAGATATTCACCTGATGTTCACATATATGTATTCATTTTGTTGCCAAGTCGTCCCGGGGACAAGGAAATAAGAAATTGTCAGCCATTTGTTCTTGAGTTAAAATGTAATATTACATATTACATAATTACAATAGTCATAACTGTTACAAAAATGTTGTTGTACTTGTTGTGAAATCCCATAGTATCAACATTTCCCCTTTTTAACAATCAGGAGTTGACACCTGAGATTTAAATGTCTTAAGGATTATCCTGATTTGTTATTTTTACCAGGGGTGGGGTGGGGGGCTTTTCTGGAGTATAAATGTATATCACATTCAATGGTTGGTTCCTTGCTTGTTCGATGGTTGGGTGTCAGATACATTATCATTTGAATGAAAACCAAGCAGATGTCAGGAGGGAAAGACCGGGCGAACCAGCTGGGGCAAATAAAATGAGAAATGACGCAATTCTTTACCACACAGTACTGCTAATAAACTATGTTTGTATTACAAAATCTCCGTAGTAAGAAAGAACTGATGATACATGACAAATGTGACTATCTATGTCCAATCTTATTATTAATGATTATTATTATTGATGATGACGAATCGTTATTAACAAACTGGTCCAATTGTTGTTGTATCCAGGATTAGATTATACCGCTGCTGTTGTCCCTGCCACGGGGGTCGGCAGCAGTCGGCTTGTAGTACTGGTCTGCACTGTGTAAATGTGTCGTGTGTCTTGAAGAACCACAGGAAGAATAGCTACATTTGTTGTAAGCTACATGTAAGTGTGGATCCCAATAAAGTCAAGTCACTCCGCACCTTCAGGCAGCCCTATCCAGTGGGTTTACACCAGCAAGGCCACGCTCTCTAATGTCTTTCTTCACACATTCTGTCCAGGTCTTTTTCGGTCTACCTCAACCTCTGCTGCTAGGTAGCTGCAGATCAATGATGTTATCAATACAGCCACTGGCATCATAGTCGGTGGGACTGCACGACAGACTTGATGTCTTCTAGGCCGAGCTTGGCAAGCAAGGTTGCAGATGGTGTCAAGTCACCATTATTTGACTTTTGAGTCACACATCGTTATCCCATCTTGGCCCTTGATTTGCTTTTTTTAAAGCCTTTCTTGTTTTTTTTTTCCACAGAAGTACTAGTCTGAACCCTATCATAAGGATGGCTGCTCCCCCCACACTGTACACCTGTGCCCTGTGTGGTCAGGACGGGCTGACAGATCCCGACATGAGGTCTCACATGGTCGTGGTATGGAAACTTTTACATCTTGAGACAAATACTAGTATAATAATTTTCGGTCTATCTCTTGTATTCTGCTTGAAGCTGTACACATACTAGTAATATCCACTTGTTCAACAGAGAATATGCAACAATGGTCTAGGTAAGAGTGGTACAAATCTAAAATGGCCTAGTTACAAGTTGGAACTACAAATATATACATGTACAATCTACAGCACTGGCGAAGCTTTCTGAAATGTGTTTGACTAACCTGGGATCCTGGTCTCGACTGATCTGAAAGCATAGCCTGGGTTCCATCCTGGTTAGTTTACGTCCCCTCCCACAGTCGCTACCACCAACCAGCGACTGTGGGAGCGGACGTAAACTAACCAGGATGCGCATATGGAACCCAGGCTACTGAAAGCAAGCGGGCTAACTGATTTCCTAGCTGCTCTCACCAGCTATACTACCATTGGCTCATGTCAATGAACATGTAAATGTGCTAAAAGTATAATGTCTCTACTCAGCACTACACTAGCCTCCATAGCATGCCAAAAACCGGGGGGTTTGGGGGTCTTCAGGGTCGTTGGGATCTTTTATGTGCTACCGATATTTTCTGATCATATAGACAACATAGCCGGCCTGGTTGAATTACCCCCGTAACTGGGCTAATCAGAAAACAGCCGAAGACCACCAAACCCCCAGTTCTATAAGCCTGCTACGGAGGCTAGTAGTACTACACCATATAGGTCATGTTGGTTCCCTGGATCCAACACATGTTTTGTACGTTTTTTGTGCAGGTACACCAGGAGGAGACCATCTCCTGCCCCTTCTGTACCCTGGCTGGAGTCAGCTATGACGAGATGGAGCTGCACATCAACACAGTCCACACAGACGACATGGACATCGGCATGGAGGAGGCCATGTTCATCGACCAAGAGATGGAACGAGAGAAAAGAAACGGCGAGAAGAATGCAGAGGAAAAGGAGACCCCAGAAGCACAAGGTAGTTGTTTCAGACAGAACGTAGCACTCTCAACAGAAGAGGATGATGCTTGTTTCAGCCAAGACTTTAGAATGAGCATTTGTGAAAATGATGTCGGAGATGAAGAAAATATGGAAGATGGTGCAAAAGGAAGGATTGCGTTGAACAGTCAATCTTGGTCGGATGACGGCGTCTTGGCAGCCGACTCAGAAGAGGAACTTGAAGGAGTCAGTGACAAGAGAAGGAAGTTGGATGAATGCGATGTGCAATATGTTAGTGATAGTGACAGTGATGTCAGAAATGATAATCATTTACAGCTCAGCAATGACAGTCGGGATGGAAATCCTGGCAAGGAACACTCTCCTACCACGCAGTACGCAAAGAACGGTCTGTCCACAAATTCTTCTTCCTCAGCAAGCGAAAGTCTGTCGCCAGATTCCGTGGATAACAACTACCCAAACAGAAATCAGGAAAAGTCCTCCCCGATAAACCATCGCCATGGCAACCCGCACCCATTGCATCATGGGAAGAATGGCAACAAGGAACATCTTTCAGCCAAGACTGGAAATCCTCACAAGAAAGTTGATAACCCCAAGAGTAAGGTCAGAAAGACTTCACAGCAAAAGGCCAACATCAACATAACTGACAGTGACGTTGGTGCGCTAGCGTCTAGGATTGAGGATGAAGAGATGGGGTGTCCCTTCTGTAACATCAGGGGCATCCCTTCCATGGATTTGAACGCGCACGTGAACAGGGCCCACGCTGATTTGCTGAGCCCCGAGAAGGCTGGTTCGTCCAACACGGGACAGTTCGACAACGATACAGTGTGCCCCATGTGTGGGCTGCAAGGGCTGGTGGGAGACCTGTTTGCACAACATGTGGAAGGGCATTTCCAGGAAGAACAGAGAGGTAAGTACAGCTTTTCCAGGAAGAACAGAGAGGTAAGTACAGCTTTTCCAGGAAGAACAGAGAGGTAAGTACAGCTTTTCCAGGAAGAACCGAGAGGTAAGTACAGCATTTCCAGGAAGAACAGAAAGATAAGTACAGTATTTCCAGGAAAAACAGAGAGGTAAGTACATCATACATTTCCAGGAAGAACAGAGAGGTAAGTACAGCATTTCCAGGAAGAACAGAGAGGTATTAGTATAGCATTTCCTGGAAGAACAGAGAGGTATTATATCTGTCACATGACTCATGAGTCACTCAACTGTTAACATAATCATGAGTACACGATGTATATGCAACTGCAAGTTAAATGTTCTGAAGTGTACTTGTCACCCAAAGTCACCCACTCTAAAAATGTGTCCGTGGCAATTTCTAACACAGGCCACGTGCGCCACCTCCAAGAGTCTATTGTGACTTTTTTGTTTCTCTCCATGTTCCACAGAGCTTTCTGACCATGCCCTGGCCGCTCAGCTACAGGAACAGGAAGAGGCAGAAACCCGCCGCAGGAAACAGAAAGAAGAAGAGGAATTCAGAAGACTCCAGGTTTGTTTGTTTGTTTATAAAGATTAATGTTACAATTTACACTATTCTTCCTGAAGTCCACAAGAATCGGCAATACAATAAATAGAATGTAAATAACAAAACTTCAAATGAGCAGGAGAGGTCAGTACGTGGTCAACATAAAGTAACTGAAACATAATAAATCGAAATCGAAATTTAGACAAATTAGCACAGTACTGTCTCTGGTGCTGAATGGCAATCTAGAGGACAGATACTGTCATGTACAACCATTATGTTTGGTCATTGAATAGATGGCTTGCACTGAAACAATCAAAGACTAATGATATTAAAAGTACTTTCCCACATCATTTTCTCATGTATCCATCCATGCAAGACCTATCCACTTAGATTTGTCCTCATAAATTAATAACATAATGAACTAAACTTGACCAAAATAGGAAAGTTTAGACCCTGCCTGTCCCTTATTGATGAAGAGTGTCCAAACAGGACCAAAATTTTCAAGAAAAAAAGGGATTTTCAAACTTTTAAGATATTGTTTGATGTCGGTAACAAAAGTCTTGTAGTTACCGGTATATATTATTGACAAATACAGTGGCAGCCAGTTAATTGCAAAACGCTTATAAGAAAAAGTCTGCTAATTGAAAAGAATTGTGAAAACCCAAACCGTTTCCCATTGACACCATTGTTTATCACGCCCCTTATTTGCAACACATTTTCAACCAAAAACATGCCAAACAAATCACCAAAATCGGCGGAAAATTTCTTATATCAAGACATCAAGCCGCCAAAAGGGACGAAGTTGTCTGTTTTGAACCACAAAGGAGGCCGAAATTTACGTTGATCGAGCGGTCGGGCGCACATCAGCACTACGTAATGAGAAGCGCGAGCCGGTTCATAGCCGCCAAATGCGGCATGCTCTTGTGTTCTTTTTGCCTGTTTATTCCAAGAACGTTTAATTTCTCATACAACTCATTTTTTAACTAGAAAAAGGCCAATATTTGCTTTGGAGCAAATACAGCGATGGGTTCACCACATTTTACCACATGGCAGGGAAAGAATGAGAAACACAAGGGAAAACAATGATTTACATTGATATAACTATAATATGAAGTAACATACAACTAAAACAACAGTTGGATAGCTATTCCCTACTTTATTGGTTAGGATTTTTAATTGCATAATGCAAACTGTTGATTTTCAAAATAAAATAAAAAACGTTCATGCCCCGCATTCCAATGCTGGAGCAGAAAAGCTTGAAATACCTACCAAAACACTTGAATAAAGACATACTGTCAGTATGGAAATGCTCTGTGCAGGTGTTAATCAAGTTAAATCCCAACAGCCAATCAGCAAGAAATGCTCTGT